TACCCCTGTTGAAGAGAGGTGACAGTGAGTGCTCGAATTATTACAGTACCTTATTGAGCCTCCCGGGGAAAGCTTGTGCAAAATGTCTGAAAAGCGGTGCCACGGAATAACTGACCTCAAGATACAAGTAGTGCAGTGTGGTTTCGGGTTGGGCCGAAGCAACATTGACTATATCTTCCTCTTACACCATATTGTTCAGAAATCGTGAGAGTTCGTTCATCCAAATTATATGCGTTTTGTGGACCTGGAGAAAGCCTACATCCTGATACCGCGCAACAATCTCTGGGTCTATCTGAAAACATATGCACTCAATGGCCAGTTGCTAAGAGCCATGGAGTCTCTAGGCACTGACAGCAAGCATTGCGACAGAGTAAATGGCATTAACTCGAGACCTTTTATCGTTAACACTGATATTCGCCAAAGCCGTGTTTTATCCACTCTCCTTCTTGTATACGGATTGAGCAGTCAGGTGCAGCCAATGCGATGATTGTATCAGCGTAGGAGATATTGGGTAGAGATGTTTTATTTGTAGGCACATTCTGAGTGCGGCGAAGCCGGTATGCGTCTGACCGCGCGAACGTGACTAAATCGAAAAACTCACTGCTTTCTCGTTCTCCCTCCGATGCGCTCTATATATAAACAGAAAAACAGTGGAACAGGTAAAGAGGCTAAGGAGGTCGCTTTTACTGGTGATGGAAAATGGTAGAAAGTGCCCTACCGGCGAATTGGGCGAATTCTAACGACGTCCAAGAACCTTTATGATCATTGCAGAACTGAATCGAAGGCAAAGTTCTGTGTGTACAAATCGATCATCATTTTGATACTCACCTACGGTCATGAGTCATGGTCAATGACTGTAAAACTTCGATGAGTTTTCTATTACAGATCTAAGAGATCACGAATCTCGACAGGGTCTGGAGTACAGATATCTGAGAGAACCTTGGTGTACAGCCACTTCTACTTCAGATGGAGAAGTCACAACTGCGATGGTTCGTGTACGTGTTGCGACTGCTTTCAGAAACGGAGGAGAAACAGTTTCTACATGCCCAACCGACCGGCTGAAGACCCTAAGGACGGTTAAGAATAGATTGGACAACCGTATGGAAGGAATCGACTGCAGTCTTGGGTTTTCTTCTACTGAAGCCCAAAAGCTGGCGCAGGATCGGACACTATCTTAAATGTGCCATCGCTGCACAAAAGAATAAGCGGTCATTGAACTGACTCTTATGGATAAATATTTTTATCAAACAATATACCTCCATTGACGGATGACAACGTATTGGCTTGGTTGTGATTAACAAAAGACAAAAAAAACTGAAATAGTTCTTCCAAAAATATCTTTACATTTGAAGCACACATAGAAATACTCAATGATCAGTGTGAAATGTCGTAAACAGTGTTCTGGAGAACACAATCATGAATGTGAATTGCCTATTTAGTGCAGAGGTATGAAGTTCCGTTATTATTTGCCTGCAACCAAAGAGGCAAGCAACTTACAACTCGACGCTGATGTACATTCCTGTACCGTAGTAGAAGCCCGTCTTTCATACCGCTTTGCACAATAGCAGAACTTCCATTTAAAGGATATAATTTATCTGTCTTCCAGGCATGTCAGTTAGAGACAAATCGAAAGATAAAAGATAGCGACACCATGAGGGACCATAAAAGATATATGATGCACGTCAGCAAAATTAAGAAACGTCTGATCGCACTGTCTTCAAGCAAATCACTTATTCCCATTTAGTTGCTAAAAACTGCCAAATTTTTATTATTTACCTCTGCATTTCGAATCTTTTCAGAGGTCAGAAGTCGCAAGAGGATCAAGCCGAAAGTGACTCTAGACGGATAGATGAAGACGTTTGCAACAAACGAGGAAAAATAGAAATATTCAGTACTGAAAAGCCTGGAACCCGTAAGTATACTATTCACTGTCATATGTTCAGGAGTTGTATTTTAGACGATCTCGTTTCTGATGAACAAGTAAATTCACCCAATAAATGCAGTTCAGTTGAAGACGTTAAGAATATAATTATTAATGATCATAATAATTCAAAGCTGCTTACCGAAAGGAGTCTTGGTTCGCTGGAATCTGTACAACTGCCGGTTGGCACGACGACAAGGATGCTGACATTGGAGTCTGGGGGTTCACTGAGAAGCTGCAGCAATTTGACTATACATAGCAAAGACTACAACAGCTCTGATTACAGTCTCATCATCGACCCGGCCAAGCTGTTTTCTATTGCGTTTGTTGTTTGTCTTTTGTATATTTAATGTCCATGCTTTTAACAGATTTCAGTGTATGGGTCATATCTGGCTGTTGGAATCTTCCTTTCTGTTTCAATTATACAAAGTAACCATGAGATGTCATGCTTTCTACACTGTAAAAAAACAAAAGTATGTTTCGCAATTTTCATCTTGCACAAAAATTACCTCGCCAAGCATGTATTAATCATCTAGGCCACAATGTAAACCGTGTCAAGGGAAGCGAATTCTAAGTGGACTGCATGAATCTGGTGACGCCTGCAGAAGGCAACACGGATTGAAAACTCGTTTTTAGCTCCAAACGTGCGACCTCCTGTAAATGACCGGCACTTCTGCCGATATTTTGCAATACCTTTACGTTGAAAATGACTCGCAAGACTCGGGTCGAAATGTTGGTTGGTACCCGTCAATCATTCTGCGTTGTTTTAATCACAGTTTCTCATGTTTCGTGATTATGACAATTAACACACGAACTGCGTTCAGTATCCCACTCCCAGTGGATAATAACGTTCACAAAGCATTCAACCCTACCTGCAAAAATATGATGCAGAGTAAGCTTTCAGCTATCATGTCATGCTATGTTTTTAATACTCGCGTTAAACTGATGCACTGGACTATGCTTTAGAGACATTCTTTGAGATACAATTTGGGATGACTGTTTCAGCAAAGAATGAAGAAAATGTAAAGAATGCCATCAGGATGTCAGCAGCCTCTTACTGTTTCCTTCTTTCCATGAGGTCAATGGTGGGTTGTTGATCTCCATTTCTGTGCCATCAGTCGGGAGTGCCTTCCTTAAAGGCGAGTCGACAGCAGCTGTGCGACAGACACAGAATGGTACTCATTTGTCTACCTCAGAAGGAATGTGAGTGATCTGACCAGGGCATGAACCTGGGATCTCTCGAGGCTGAGTCCAACGTTGTACCGACTGGACAACTCCGGCATTAACGTTGGATGTTTGTCGTCGAAGACTACGTCTAGTTCATACGATCATGGATATATGAACAAGCTAATAAATCAGAGGTCATGAATAGTACTGATTTTATATTTTAATAAGCTATAAGAAGCCATCACTGAGGCCATACATCTATATTCAGAACATACATTGACAAAACGGGTGTCCACGATTGAACGCTTAAAACAAAATACTGTTACGACATTGACCACTGGATATTATTCCTAGAGGAAATATTTTTCAATCGATTTACTGCCATAATGATAAACCAAAGATCATCTGCTCATCGTGAAAAACAGCATGAAAAAAATATTACATTCAGAATAAAAGCAACAAAATGCAGTCCCTAATATCAATAAACATCGTGTTTACTTATGCAAGAAATAAAAATTAGCTGAAAATTTTGTTTAATGGCTCTTAGGCATTCATTTATTTCACAATTTTATCCATATGCAGAAGAACACAAATATTAATAACCGCGAAAAAAACTCACAATATCCAGAACGTTAATCGTCTGGGTGGATTAGCTTCCACAACTGTTCATACTTTCCAGTAGACGACCTATCTCCACTACTTGAATTTGTCGCCGCATTCTAAACAATGTTCGGAAAGTAAGACCAATTATTACTGTTGCCATCTCAACAGGTGGCAAACGTCTCTCATAACTTAGAGCAAATAAGCAAAAGGAGGACGAAAAATCCAATTTAATCCAAGAGTCGAGCTATATCGATTGATTTATCAGTATTCAAGCATTTTATGCTCCAAAATTTGTCACCCCTTTTTTTAAAACGTATCACACATTCATAGATGAATAAGCTTGTAACTCTACGTATATAAGTGTTTTTCCAATCTAAGGCAGCAGTTCATTGTTGCAACATGTCTACGAAAGCGGCGACATAGGCAGGCTCTGAGCCACATGGCCTGCAGCACTTGCAGTGCAAAAATAAACTGAGACCTACGAACTAATATCGGTTATGTTCATTGCTCGATATCCAGTAAAACATTAAGAGGAAATTTGACGCTTCCAATCCAAAGCTACGTCTAAACTTAATCAAAACTACTGCTTTACTTATAAACATGAGAAATGACTAACAACTTTGCATTTTTCGTGTTTACAATGAATAAGTAAAGTAGGTGTGCTTACGCGCATGTGTGACTGAATTTGCTTGTAAGCCAGATTAGATAAGTCACACTGAGCTGAATATCTGCACCTATTAACATATACCTGTTGTTACAAATATTCTATCATTATAATGGTCAAAGTAATAGCCATATAAGTAGATAGGGCATGTGCAAATGGCATAAAACTTTGGAAAAAAGTATTAAAGTTGGAAGTAATATGAAGTTCGTAGTACATGGTGGTGTAGCAGGTATTCAAGTCTACCTCACAACCAAATATTAGATACCATTTCGACGTGATCATGCTACACTGCTCTATTATAAGCAGTAGCTGTATGGAAGGCATAGCATATCATTGTCGTCTTTCTTCCAACAAAGTTTGCTAATGGATGGATCACAATCTTAGATTCTTGCCATAGCGTAAGAAGCAGTCCAACATTAAACGCCTTGTTGCAGTGACTGATGTCACACATTTAAAGTACGGTAGTTCATGTATTAAGAGTTAATAACGTAACTTACAGCAGTTATTTCAGTAAATAAAGTACTATAAACATTTCAACATTAATAGTATCGAAACTTACTTCGTCTGAATGCGTCTTCAGGATCTCTTCGTACGATCCAATAAATTCATCAAGCCTTTCCTTTAGAACGTTCCGCCGAGAGTCGTTGTTTTGTCTAGGCAACTTAACAGTAGTAAAATATACAAAATTTCCAAGAACTTTGTCGCTGTGAGAAAAGCAATGACACGCAAACTCAGTTAGCCGAAGACACACTTCTCTTACTTTTTACCACATGTATCAGGTGATGCATAGTGTTTTACAAGCATCCAACCTGGCAAGAATAAATGTGGGATTACCCTTCAGTCAATTCCAAGCCACTGCCTTATAAAGAGGTCTTATAAAGAGGTCTTGTTAAAGGCCTGCATGGCGACCGCGCGCCATCAAGTTTTGCACTCAGTATCGCTTCGCAAGACGGTTATCGTTCATTCATTAATAATGGTCTCTCCATCTTAAACACCTTGTTCGAAATCAGTTCTGTAATTTTAGTTGGATATCCTCATCTCTTACGAAAGCGTTTGACACCAGATCGTACTACTTCACTCCTAAAATTGATCCTAAAATCATGATTTTCATTGCATTCAGTTTCCTGTTTTCAGCTTTGTTAGGTGCTGTAGACTCCAAGCCATATGAGAGACATAGAGATACAAAAAATTAAAACGTGAGACCAGGTTCTGACTGGAACTAGTACAACTGATTTCGAATATTATATAAAAGAACGGCTAATGGCAGTCGCTTACATGTCACGATCCAAACCCAGTAATTGTAGACCGCGCTTCTGCTCCTCTGTTTTACGAAGAAAAAGATTCAACGAGTTTTCATCCACCTGTGATGATTGAAATAAAAATGAAAGTTCAGAAACAACCATGCTTTAAATCATACCGTTTCTAAGTAAGTCAAAATGTCTTTGCCCAAGAAATTGTAGACTTGTAAAAGGCAACAGAGTGCGGCTTCCCTGACGGCACTGCTTTGATCATTTACGAATTTTGCAATGAAATGAACCATTTTCTAAGAACACAATGCTCTTTACATAAACTGAACTTTGTTTTATGTTTTAAGTTGAACTTACACATTGGCAATCTGTATTATTTAAATAGATAAACGGTTCCAAACGACTTCAAATCAATACACAAAAGGAAAAAATACAACTTAGCTCAACATTGTTGTGATAGCTGTACAGCATTACGTTAAAATATAACCAATCTATCAAACTTTTCAATATTGACTTCTGTTCATTTAAATAGCTTTATGGATGAACGATCATAGGGTGAAATAGTTTTTTTTTATTGACTAGATTTCCGACCACAATGCATTAATAAAACCGTAACATATTTAAGCAAGGTCGAACTCTGGAATGACGAGACAACGGTTTTAAAAGTCTTGAACTTTAATGTTACTAATAAATCTCACCCCCCTTTCTTGAAACTAGATCCAACAAATTAAAGTCCTCTGTAAATCTAATAAGTACTTAATAAAGGCATCAAAAGTTAACACTATGATAACTCCAACTGAAACGCTGCTTAAACCAAAACCGTAACAGAATTTAAATCCATTAAACCGCAATAAATAAATAGCAACATTATAGTTAAGAAAGAATATAATGGCAATGCCACGGTGGTATGGATAAGCCAGATTATACCAACAAATGTCGCGACGTGCTCAACGCCTCCCGTCTCCCGAGATACTGACCTGATTTCCTCTATGTCCGTCAGAAACAATTCATATTCTCAAAATTAGGTGCATAGACTTCTAACAAAGTCAAAGTTTCAGCCGAATGACTGCCACTCTTCCGTTGATAGGCTTCCATTCAATGATTCTGTCAGCGAGATTGGTTTCTACCAGAACACTAACACCCATCTGAGCGAGTCGTTAACTGAACATCAGAAGAGCATAGCTTTCACCCGCAAAGGTTCAGAATTCCAGAACACGTGAAGCAGGTTCTAATCCAGTTTACTTGAGTTCCCAAACAACTAAGGTAAGAAAAGAAAGAGTACCGTTAGCAGACTTGAAACGTTTAGATAACGTGAGATCGCAACTGAAAGATGTCAGACGCTGTTCCCCGTGAGTTTAAAGTCTATTCATCTATGTGAAAGATACCCTGTCAACAAAGCACAGGGAGAACTCAGAACCGCAGACAGCATTATACGAATTGTACTAAATAAAAGCGTTATCAATATATACAATCCACATTAAAGTAACAAAATTACAGCCATTTTTACAGAGACGAAAGTACTGAGCCATTCATTTCACATGAAAGCGAACTACGTGAAAACCTTACCTCCGGTTGATTGCCAAAAATATAAGCTTCAAAAGAAGCTATCAGAATGGCGATCCGCTTCAGGCATGCCGCCGTCTGCCAAGAATTTTGACTGTAGCACGCATCCATCATCATTGGGAGCATACGCGATGTCGGATAGACGATCAGAACTTTGTTTAAAGTCATATTGGCTGCTTCAAAAACTTCTTGGTCGCAATGGCCCAACAGACGCAGAATATGTGGAATGAATAATCTCGCTTCTACCTCTGACAACTTGTGCGAATTTTCGTGAATCAGGAGAAGAAGCCTTTGAGCGAAGACCAAGAGACGAACAATTACCATTGCGCCCTGGTTAAAAAATCTCAGCGCACACCATTTGAACAGCAAATCGGAACAGTCGTGCGTTACTGTAGAAAATGCCACCGAATGCTAAACATTTAAACAACGTCAGCAAAATTAAACAGGAATAACATGTATATTTTGGTACTGACAGCAATGACGGTGCAAACTGCAGTGAAGACTGTAAAAAGAACGCAGATAGCATCGTATTGGATAGGTGCAGCAAAACGGCTGAAAAAAGAAAATTTCTTCCAAACTTTTCTTTCATGACAACCGCTTACTACAGCAGAAGTGGAACATACGTTATCGCTGGTTGTTACAAACGGTTCCTATGAAACTTGTGTGGTAACTACACAAGCAAATAACATAGCAAACAATATTTACTGGATGCGGAACATAGGCAACATAATTTCGCGTTCATTTTATTAAATAGGAATAATGGAAATAACACAGTGTGAAAAGACGGTCACTGTCTGGCGGTAACAAAGGTCTGCATTAGAGTGACGTGTTAAAGTCCCTAAAGGAAGAATCTGATCAATAAGACCATCATGCCAGCTAAATTCCTCGTAAGCAGTTCTTTAATGGGTGACCTGGTTCACTTACAAAACTTCTTACCTTCTCATCCTTGATTTCAAATCTTTCTCCGCAAAAAAGATTGTTCTTTCCGTTGTGAAACATGAAACTGAATTGTGAGCGTTCTAATAAGAGGCCAGAATATCCCATAGCTCAAATATTTAAAGGACATTATCGCAATGAATTTTGCTGCATTTTATCGCAGATTATTTCAGTTTTGCTATGAACCTCTGCTACTTTGAAAAAGGAACACCAGCCAACTACGGATTCTGCTTTATTACCAAATGAGCGTCATTTATGACTCTGCGCCGAGAAACAGATATAAGCGACAGAAATTAAGTTAAAACTGCACTAATTTACCTGCATCAGCAAGTCAGTTGCCCGCAAGATATCTTCCGTATTGTCGCTGAAAAGAAACTTTAGCAATTTATCATGACAGATCGGTTCCAACTGCTCCTTCAGCCTCTTGAAATGGGCATCACTGGGACATACGAAGCTCCAGAACGACATCTGCAGAGAAAAAAACAAAATCAACATGAGGTCATCAAAATTAGCATATACCTCCTTAGTCGCATTTAGGAGTCGTTTGTCCTTGCTTTCAGTATCCAGAAGCAAACGCGAGACCACTGTGTCTTGGATAAGTTGACATTCAGTCTGGGATAACAGAAGAGACGTGGTATTCTCTTCAGGTAGTATTTTGGGGACCACAGTGTCAGCCGCCTGATAGGCATTAACCGATGAAGGTTTCTGCTCAACTACTGATTTCGCTGGCTATAAAGATCTCCAACTATTACATAGCTGAATGATAAAAGCTGTAGGATTGAACCATCAGCCTGGGCTAACAAAATATACATAAAACTATTCTGAGGTCGTTTCTTAAGGAAAAGAGTTTGACGTGTCTCATCAGATTTAGTATTAATTAGTTATCAGCTCTAGTGTGCACAATTTTCAAGGATTGGATCTAAATATATAGAACACCACAGGTACGCATATTAAATCGAGTCAAATGCTACATGCAAAAGATCTTGTAATGTTCGATTCCTCTAATTCTGACCTCTATGCGCACTTGAAAAGTTCGCTACCGTCTGCAAGGAGATCAGCATGAAGATCAATTTGACCAAATTCTAAGGTTCAGTACTCACCCGAAAGGAAGTTTGATGTTTCCACTGGAGTGCAAATGAAAGATATGATTAAGTTCAAGTACACCGCAGTAGAGTTCAGTTTACGAGTCACGAACATAAGATATGGAAGTAGGTTTACGAATCAGTCAAGAGGGAAGAGTGACGTTGGACTTCCATCACGCCATGAACAATGAAAGAGTTTAGACATAAAGCAAAGTTATCCGTCTTCAATTTTATTTATGCATCCTCCTTATATTATGGTCATCAT